TGGACGGGAAGTGTAAATACGTACCTTATCGAGACTCTAAGCTCACAAGGCTTCTACAGGATTCCTTGGGAGGAAACTCTAAAACGTTAATGGTGGCTTGTATAAGTCCGGGAGAGAACAACTACGAGGAAACGCTGAGTACTCTCAGATACGCAAAGCGTGCAAAGGACATCAGGAACAAACCCAAGATCAACGAGGATCCTAAAGACACAATTATTAAACGATATCATGACGAAATTCAACAACTTAAAAAAATAATTGCCAAAGAAATTCCAGTTCCGAAACAGTTAGTTACTGAGCTTAAAGGTAAGGCTTTGTTTTTTTCTTAGATAGTGACGGAGGATTTGGGAGGAAAAAAATAGCCAGATTCCTATTGATAAGTAAGGGCCGCTGAGCATGATTTTCTCAGATCGAGTTCAAGTAGTTTCCGAAAAAACGTATGTATCACAAGGGGCTGGTTTGGTCTGAATTGTAAGCACAGGCCAACAGTTAGACAGAGCAATATGAAGACCGTCAGCGCTATTTGCTGAGGTTTTTCATAATTTGAATATTTTGTTATTTAAGTCCCAACAAAGTACGAAATATAAATATCAACTTTTCCGATTTTCTGTGTAGCGCGTTGAATACCTTAGCAAAGTTCGCCCCAACGCCGCACATACTTGGGAATATCTCCTGGTACATAGGGTCCCTAGAACGTAAGGGGCGCACTGAGGTAATAGTAATGCAGGTAATGATTGCACTGCCACATTAGCTGTGAAAGACAGGTATCAATCAATTTGTAAGGGAGTCATTCAATATTAAAATCAAAGCAAACCTCTCTTTAGTGTCGTAACATCAGAGCAGTTTCAAGTGAGTGTTGAAAGTAATTTGGAATAGAATTGTTTACCTATAATATCTATGACTGGTCCACAAAACCTTGCGCCATCTTCGCAACCAATCAGATACTGCTTTGTTCTGATTGGCCTTAAATATGGACGAACCCACTTGAATGTGCATATTGTTATTTAAAACACGCATGCGTTTACCTTTTTCAGAAACAACTGAAGAAACCATTAGTAAAACATCAACTTACTACCGGACCCTGGCACAGCAAAGTGAGAATCATTTGAGCCAGTCGAGTGTAAAAGATTATCAAATGAGACTTTTTGAAACGCAAAAGCTTCATATCAAAGCTTGCGAAGAAACAACCACACTAAAGAGAGAACTTGATGAACTTAGAGCGCAGCTTCAGATTCAGCGGAAGAGATATGAATACGAAGCGAGAAGGAGCATGCTTGAGGAACATAAAACTGCTTTGATGCTATTGCGCGAGCGACGAATTGCAGACGGATGCAGTGCTTCGGACATCAGGAACCTTGCAAGAGTAAAAAATCAAAGTGAGACGCATTACACTTCGTTCAGTTTATCGGAAATTACGTCATCTAGAGGATTATCACAGGAAATTACGACACGGGAATTGACGATTTCACCAGCACATACAGACCTGGACTATTCAAATTTTAACTTTGAGAACCTGACGGATGTGACGTCGGAAACAGAGAGGGCGTCAGAACCGGAAGGTAAATCCTCACCGGAAGTACCTGCCATGATATCTGTGTCAACTTCAACGGACGATCTTCGCGATCTCGAAACAGATGTCGATTCAACAGACGAGGATCAACCGAAGAGGGAATGGGATGCTCGAGAAAACAGTTTGTGTCGAGAAGAGGCCGAAGGACGATCAAGAAGTGTGTCGCCGTACACAGCAGAAAAGAAAAGGTATGCTGGTGTCGAGCCCTCCAACAGCGAAGTCATTTACCCACTGGACGAGGAGGTAAATATCAACTAGTTTATTGTTTGATATGTTTTTGCCGTCATTTAAGTCTACTGTTCAATAAATAGCATAGTTTTTATCGTCAACACGTAGCTTCCGAAAACTGCCCAATTCAAATGAAAATTTAAATCACTAATTTTTAAGCTACACAAGAAATTTATATCAGCGCTAAAGTAAGCAGGAGTAAGTTACTTTAAGTCAAATGCTTACGTTAAAACACATTTATTACTGTTAAAAAGAAAAAAATTAAAGAAATTGACTTCTTGCTTTTCAGTCTCTTTTTGTACCCTTAACTAATAATTGGTCGATTGAGCTTCTTTCACATCGTTAGTGGTGTTGTTATCCATGTTCTTATTTACTTATTTATTTACCAACCTACCAACTTTACTTTTACTCAATGGCGCAGATGTGCGTGAATTCTGCATATAATTGATCACAGATTTTTTTCTGTATAAAAATGTGTTTATTAAGTTTTTGTGTTAAACTAAAGCCTCTTTTCTTTCTTGTGTGTTTCTGCTTTCGTTATTGTGTGTTAATAGCTACTGTATGAATATGTAACCTCACATGTGACATTTGACCAACTAGTCTATTCCTCTCTCATGCACCAATGTAATCCGTCTTTAATTCTTTTTTAGGGTCCAGTCAGCGTAGGGTTATGTTGCCTATGCCCAGAGATTTCATTCTTTGGGGAGAGATTCCAATTATATCAGCACAGACGACTCGAAGAGGTTTTAAGAAAAAAGCAAAAACTGCCTTAAAACAGTCGACTCCCTTCACTATTTTTTATAATCACAATAACACATTGATAATAAAAGCCGTTGCAAAAAGTTTTAAGTCGTTTGATTTTATTTAGGATTTGAAGTCGAGGTTTAATGATTAAAGTGTGCCTCAAGGATGAAAAAATGTCCCTTTTTTCCCCTTGAAATATGGATTTATTTTCGACAAAGAAATCCAGATTATTGTACCGCATTACAAAAATATTTCTAACTCCTTTTTAATTTCTTCATCAAACTGAACATCCACCTTTATTGATTATCATTCAGTCGCGTTGCGTTGAGCGAGCCGAAAAGAGAGAGACGCAAGGCTTAATTTTTCAAAGTGTGAATCCAGCAAATTAAAAAAGATAGTTTTTAGATATGAGCTCATACCCCAAGCAACATCATTAAAATCTTTACGTCTGGTGGTGAGGTTGAAACAGAACCACATCATGCATACTGGCCGTCAGTTTTCGAGGAATTGAATATCATTTTCAATTGGTATTGAAGTTTATCAATTTTGTGCATATGAGAATAAAGGAACGTAATTATGTCAACGAAATGATGAAATTCAAGTATCATTATCTTATGCAGCACTGGGCTAATTGAGAATCAATGAATTTGTGAGGAACAAATAGGGTAAGAGAAACATACGAACCCAACTGGGGGTAGGTAGGTAGGTAGGCTATTTGGTATTCTCCACTGAGTTGATAACGTAGATTGGCCACCGTTAAGAGTTTAAAACTGACGTTTCGAGCGTTAGTCCTTCGTCTGAGCGAGTGGTGTAGGTAGATTGGCAGGAAGGCTGGCTATCTATGAAGGAGAACGAACGGGGAAACAGAGTAAAAGTTTGTTTAGAAGCTAATCAGAGGATTTGAACTTAGATGTTAAAATGTAGCTCGCGCCCTAAAACTGACCACTCGGCAAAGTCGTTGAAATATAGGACGATGAAATATAATGAATTATAACCCTTCATCTGTTGTGTTTCTAAGCTGTGTGTCAACGCTTTACGTTTCTGATGACTTCCATGAGTGTGTCTGTAAGTAAGAGTCAGAAATAATGACCGTCTCGTACAACCGCGGATCCTTCAAGCTAGTTTTAACGAAATGGCGGACGACGAATGAATCTGATGTTATCTCATGCTTTCATCGCTCCTTGACTTTTGAGATACTGAGCATAATATAAGCATCATTTTACTCGGCGGCTAAGATAGAAGTCGTGGTGGATTTTTCATTTTTATTGAATGAATATCGTTAAATGCGTAATACTTTCCCAAATGACACGGATTAGAGGCTTGCTACCAAAACAGCAGGCGTTGATACTATTCTCGTGCAGTAATTGTTGTTATCACCTTGAGGTAAATATGAGCGTTCTGATTGGTTGTTTCTTGGTCTGAACTATGCCATACGGACCGTTTCCACAGTCTATTTTTATATCTCGAAAGCCAGCAGATTCAAAATAAACAAGTTTGGTCGCCATGTACTAAACTACTTACTAACCACGCTTGCTCGAGCCGAACTGGGGAATATTGGTCCTCAGTCGTTTGCGCTGCGCGCGGTCTGTACTGCCATGAGCTCGGGCTAATATTACCCTGTACGGCCATCGTGCTTGGTTAGCAACAAGTTATTATAAATTTCCATATGATCACAGTCAAACCCTAGAAATTACGATTGGGCCTGTTACTTTTGTTTTTTCACTGTAATGTGTTATAGCGATTGATATTGTCATGTAAACTGCGGTGTTATACAAGCATTTCCATCCTTGAGAAAAGCCGCAACAATACATGTGAAAAAGATACGATAATTTTTGACATGTTTGATACGGCCAATCAGCTGCTGATAAGTCACTTGTCTTTCGTGCAACTCTGTCAAAGCCCTCACCAATCTCAATCCGGATTATGGCTGCTAAAACACAGAAAATTCGTATCGCTTACTGACAGTGACGTTCGATGGCCTTGGCGATGGCATTTCTCGCGGCTGAGAACGAAAATGGACAACTGGAAGATTTGCCACAGGCGGCGTTCCTGAAAAGATTTCTTCTGTCGGTGAGGAAAAGTCAATAAATGAGAATTTTGTAAACGAAAGTTACGCCCGTTGTTTGTTTTGCAATGATTCAACGTACTTTTTATGTAGAGCCTTACCGCCAACGTACTTTATGACTTTTTTGGGGGGATTCTGGATCCATTATTTATCATCCTTCAATAAACTTCCGTGTTAGTTAAGGGCTACATTGTGTCTATATGATAAACAAAATAAACATGGGTGCTTGTAGATATGGTTTTCATGTCTCTTCTCGTGTTCAACTCGATAGCTGCGCTCACTCGTGAGCTATCGAGTTGAACATTTGAAGAGAAATTCCATATCTACGCACGCCCATGTATTACTCTCTAAGTATTTTGCAATCAATGTTACCAATAAAAAAATGCATTCTCATTTGTTTTACTTTTTTATTTGTAATGGGTAATGATATAATTGTAGATAGATCGATTGTTTCAGTTAGTTTTTATTTGTCATTGGCCCTTTGTAAAAGTTTGGTAATACTTGTAAGGCCACAAGTTTATTGGTCTTTGGCTATTAAGTACCACCCTCCTGAAACAAAATCTTTATCATCATCATCATCATCATTACTACTATTATAATTAATCACAAAATATTAAAATGAATAAATTTACAGCAAGAGAGGTGTCGACGTTTTTGGATTGACTAAGCAAACTCTCCTTAGCTTTTAGTAACATGACGGTATATTCTGATTTAATTCTGCAGTATATCCACGAGTTCACCATAATGTCATTTTGATTTTCTTTGTTCCATGCTCCACAAAAATGAATACAAAATTAAAATAAAAAATCAATGTTAAAACCATGTAAGTTGCAGATTAATGTCAATGTAAAAGTAAATGTTGCTTGCTAGTTGCTTGCTTTGTCGAATAATATCTGTCTATACATCGTCTGAACTTGCCGATTTATCTTACTTGTTTGAAATAAACTTCTTAACAAGCCTATGTGTTCCTTGATTTAAAAAAATTGTCGTTAGTATTTTGTAAGTATGTTCAAATGATGTCAAACGTCTAAAACGGGAACCAAATACTCTCGGTCTTCATCACAACCAGTGTGGGAAGTGTGGTCCTCCTCATGAAGGTGTTTTTGAGGAAGAGAGATGACAACATGATCTGGCCCAGTTGTGTTCAACTGTTGTTGATCATCAGTGCACTGACGGCTGAGATGAGGCTCGGCTTCAGACCTGGGAGACGAGGAACCAAGTAATGAATAGCTGACGGGATCGTGAGTTTGAGCGGAACATTGGACATTTCTAGGAAAGGCAACTTCTTCATACTCAGCAAGCAGCTGCTCGGTGCTTCTTCGGCTGAAGTTGTTTTGTGGCACTCGGAGACAACATGGCGAGAGACAACAACAACCACTGTCAAAAAGGAATGGCGCAGGGTTGCACATGATTCTTTCTACCTTGTTACCCAAAATTTGGAATTGTTTGGCGTTGGAAAAAAAGCAAAAGGAAGACCCTCCTCCACCGAACAAATTAACGGAACTGAACCAATGATGGCGACAATTCCTGGAATGAAAAGCATCACGAAGCTCAGCTAGCAACGTCATAAAACATTCTTCTATGTTATCCTCAATCCAGAAACCCACTGGAACCTTTTCCAGAGTATTTAGGAATACGGTTTTCAAGTGGTAAGATGTGATTGCTGGCCAAACTGGTTGAAGATGATCTTTCAAGATTATTTTCATAGCCATGAAGCATTTCCTTGCTGTGTCTGGGACAAGTTTTGAGAGTTCAACTTCTGCTAAAGAGAATGAGAATCGCCAACTTGTTTTATTCTTATCACTTGGTGCTGGTTTGGCCACCAGATGACAGCCAAGTGACATTATTCTGTGTACGTCAGCTATGCTGGGCCAAAATCTCGCTCGGTTGCCCCAGTCACTCAAAGCTGGCCACTCTGGGCACTGGACAGAAACTGTAATGTCAGCTTCGAAAACAGGTAGCATGCGAAATTTCATCGCTGGGCCTTTCGAATGAAGTGTTACTTGAGTGCACATGTTCAATCCACAACACTCTCTAATACTGGGTAGATTGAGAGCACGTGTACAAAGAATGGCCTTTCTTGCTCTGTGCATGACAAATTCAGAACTTAGAACACGCTCTTGGAAGCCAGGAGTGAGCTGAGTGAGTTTAGCATAGCCAGTGAAACCGTTATTCTCGGGAATAAGATACTCGACGAAGATATCTTCTTGACCTGCAAATGAAGCTTTATGTTCTCCGCAGAAAAACATGACGTCTAGATCTGATGTTAAAGGGCCAATGTCATAGGATGGACACAATCCACATACACAGCGAGCATCCTTTACCATCATTAGCGGGAAGCTGAATCTCTCTTCTACGCTCCCTGTGAAAATATACTGGAATGGTGTTGTTGTTGCCACATACTTCTCTAGAGAACTTTTGAAATCTTCCAGATAGGGTAGAGCGTTTCTTTTTTGGAACTCTTCAACTTTACTACTGGAGGGTACATCACTGTCCACTGACATTAGGATGTTTTTAAGAGTCTCCGAACTTCTGCCGGTGAAAACTAACTTTCTGTGACCACAAGTGACAGGGAAGCAAAGTCTCTGCAAGGAAAAACATACATCGACCCTTGTGTTTCAAAGTCACTATTAATAGTAACTGTAACTTGTCCTCTGGGGTGGATCCACGATTTGTAAATATGGGGTTGAAACGAGAGCCGAAGATGGTTTCCCGTAGAGGTGAACATGGGTGTATCCTTCCCCGAAAGATGGTAATCTCTAAGTTCCTGATAAATATGATTTCCATCACACTGAAGCCAAGTCAGCTTCTTTTAATGACTTTTATTGCACTTCAAATGTTACTTTTCTGTATATTGCCAGGCAACGTTGAAGCGACTGTCGATTATTAGTATTCTTGCAAAAATGAAAGTTGTTCGTTCAGTTCAAAACATCTCTCTTCTTTTGACTGAAACTCTGGCAGCACCTAGATCCCCCATGGCTCCTAAGATAACCATTTAACTCCCGTGAGTGACCAAGACAGAATTTCTCCTTACAATATCGATACAATATCAACCAGATAGATGATGAGAGTAAAGAAAAATATCAATTTGGGGATAATTAGTTGATCCAATACTAAATTCTCTAAACTAACATTATAAGAATTGAATGGTTGACAGTAAGGAGAATGACAAATTTGAACTGGGAGTTAAAGGGTGACTTTGTATTCATGGCCCCCTCTGTTGCCGTAATTCCTATAAGAACGTAACCCTAACTCTAAAAACTATGTGCATCATTCTCAACTTTGCTCAGACAAAGAAGAGATGCTCAGAAAAAAAATCAGTTTTTTTAAATTAAAAAAAGCGAAAACAATTAATTCATTCCTACGGAACTTATTATGTTTAACAGTTTTCTAAAGCCCGAACACCTTCCTCTAGTGTACTTACCAAACACCGTGCCAGCTGGTACTTAGCAATACGCAGAAATACCGCACCAATTAAAGTAGTTACAACCAATATTATGATTGCAGTGGCGCTAAGCTGAATGTTTACTCCATCCACGATGAGGTTAAACAATCGAAATAAAAGGATTAAAACTGGACATAGGGCCGTATAACGAACAAACCGTTTGATGGTCTTCATACAGCAAAAGGGTCTCATGAAAGAAAAAAAACAGAACTAGGTCAGACTACAGCAAAATGTACCCAGACAGCGTCTTCGATAAGCTTTAAAATAGAAAGAAAAGATCTCACATAAATAGTCTTCTCTATCCATCTCAGAATAAACCTTAGCTTGATCAACTAATACCGAATTATTTGCCTAAGTAAAATCATATTAATGTAAGGTGAGTGTAGCAAACGCGACACCGAAATAAAGGTCAAATTTGTTTCTCGCTAACAGCAATACTACCTCAAAAACACAAGCCGCAACACAAGAAGAGAGGATTGAAAAATGAGTGCATGTACGCAACGATTATAATTCGTTGAGTCAAGTAATATTTACATTACACGATTTCTAGTTATTTTTAAAAAAAATTTAGTTTTCACACAAGATAATGTTAAACTAAGGAGTATTTAACTCCCGATCGAAAGTGAAAGTGGTATCACATGATAAACCAATGACAGAAGCAAGCGGAAATGATTTTGTTTTCGGATTCATCGCAAAATACATACTGTGTCGTTTGTTTTTTTGGAACACCAACTACACCAAGACACAGGGAATGTTTTAAACTGTTACGTTTGCTTTACACATTTGACCCTCTTAGCGAATCATTTCTTTAAACAATTGCTCATCTGTTACATATAGTGGATTACGTTACTCATTATTCTGGGAAAAAATTCCCCTTAAAAACTACATTGAATACTCTAAATAAATATCAAATTACAGATCACGAGTGTGTTATCTTGCTAAATGAATAGAGATCGATTGAAAGGAATAGCACTTAAATAAAACAGATGAACAACATCCTATTTCAACATTTTATTGCCTCATTCAAAGCCTTTCGAGGGCTCCATTAAATGTGATCAACACGAATCGTGGTGGTTCCCTCTCAATAATCTTGATGGTGGCATCATATTTGAAAATGATGACAAAGATTTGGAAACAAGACTAAGCTTTGTCAGTAATAATTTCAATTTATGTTCGTATGAAAAGTGATCAGTCGACACAATAACTGTTTCTCATTTCGGGTTAGGGTTCAGACTTGAAATCATTTTAAGTATGCTAGCTCAATCACTTCATCTCCAAACTTTACCTTCTTACCTTTATACTTTCACATCAACTGATACAAGTCCAGGAGTTCACCGTTGCCTGATTACGAGATGTTATCGAGAACACAAACCACAGTACTAGAAGAGAGGATCGAATAATGTTTACATGTACGCTACGATTATAATTCGGTTAGTCAAGTAATATTTACAGGACGAACATTTACGTATGCTTTACACATTTGACTCTCTTAGCGAGTTAATTCAGGTCGAAGTTGTTACCTTGATCTAAAATTAAATTCTCGAAACCAATCTGCAAGAAAATGTGTAGCAGATAGAGCGGAAAATGAACCCTTTTACCTCTTGAAGTGACTAACATCTAATTTCTCCTTGTAATATCTCCCCTGAATCATACATGGTGGTCACAAGAATAAAGGAAATGATCACCAACTAAAGAAACTCTCAATTGTAAATTCTCATTTTAAGCATCTTAACAAATGTATGATACAAAGGATAGAGAACATGCATACTGGTATTAGGATGTAAAGGGTTAACAATCAGATCTTTGGAGTTAAAGGATTAACATTGTAGTACGTACTTAAAAGGGACCTTAAGCAAACCACGCGAGGACGACGACGACGAGGAGGTTACGAAACACAAGATCTGGTGAGCAGAACAATAGCTCAGCACGAGCGTTTACAACTTCGTACATCTGCAAAACAACAACGTGAAATCACCAAAATTCGCATAGTCTGAGGCTATTTTTAAGTCAACCCTGCTCACCTACGTTATGCTGAAGTAAGGGTGTAGCGATATCATAGACGGTGAACACGTCCAGTCATATTTTCATTCTCCCTTCTTCCTCTTCCCCAGTAACAATCGACACGACTCGTCATATGACCGGAAAAAGTCCTAGACCGTTACAACATAAACATCACAGCTTCGCCAAACATTAATTATGCCTCGCCTCTCAGGGACCTTTACTAAACGTAATATTAGAGATGTTTGTAGATGGAAATAAGAGAGAGGGTCTGAGGCTCGATTCCTCATTGGGACTCAGAATTTTTTCTTTGTCCCACGCTCGTGACAAGACGAAAAACATCTTTCCTTATTATAGATGTTTTTACAAAAGACCAGAGTGCGTGACACAGTTCCTAATATGGAAACAGATAACAGTTCCGTGATAAGTGGAGAAAATACGATAATTTATGTTCTCAGGATCTGCCCAGGTGGTGAAAGAGGCTACGCCACGAATCTTGCATTCGCACTGAACTGATCGAGATACAAGTGACCCTAATCCCAGTCAATTACTGCTGTGTTTCAATGACTCAGCTATTTCCGTCGAGTTCCATAAAATCCTTCAATCCTGAAATATTGCAGGATAACTGAATTCTTCTAACTGACTTGTAATGCTAGTAAGTAACAAAAAAATTATATTATTATATTTTCATTAGTGCTTGGCATGAGCACGCACGCAAGGTGACGAACAATGGAAGGCGCGGGGTATGTAGCACTCTAGTCCCGTACCCAGACCTTCCACGGCAAGCCTACATTCCAGTTAAACGGTAGGATCTGGGTACGAGATTAGAACCACCCTTGTTTCAGTGAATTGATAATTGAAAATTAATAGAGATCAAATCAAAAATATTTTTGTATTTCCATGGTTTCCAGCTTACAAGGTGCCAACAACGATCAAATTGACAGTGTTGCGTTACTCATTCAGTGAGCCACAGTTTCCTCGTTTATCAACTTGACCTCGTCAAATATGTCTGAAATGTCTTTAACCCAGTCCGAGGCTGGTTGAACAAATGAATTTTCATTCTCTAAAAATAGCACTCTTTAACCGGACTGTTTTATTAATTACAATAATCCGAGAAATATCCGAGGCTGGTTGAACAAATGAATTTTCATTCTCTAAAAATAGCACTCTTTAACCGGACTGTTTTATTAATTACAATGAGAAAGAGTATCATTCCTCGCCTGGACGACCAGAGGTAAGGTCAAAGAACGTATAAATTCAAACGAACTAAACAAAAAAAGATATGGAAGTTTTTTTCTTTCGTTCTGATTTTTGTTTGCTACTGATTACTCTGACCTGGCATGGCGCCCAAGATGCATCGTCGAAACCAAAAGTGCAAAAAACAGTATCAGTCTTTAAAAAAAAAAAAAAGTTAAAAGTCAGTTAGTCATGAAAGTACCAGAGAAGCCTTCGAAAGATATTCATTGTCCTAGATCATAACGATGCAATACAAGGCGCATAAAAATAAAAATAGTACATCATGAACTTTGAATTTAATTGGAAAAAAAGGGGTTTGAATCAGGAACGTATTTGTCATTTTTTCCGCTCCAAGCACGCCATAATCCCGTGTTCGTGAAGTTCAAGGAAAAATTTATAACAGAGGAGCATCGTCATTGTACTGAGTTTCGCGGAACAAAGACACAATGAAAGAGGAACACAATAATGTTTACACAGTTGGTATCATGATCAGCACATGAAAAACACGAGGGGCGTGAGCCTGTGAACTTCACAGCGGCTAATTTTGAACCGGGTAGATCTCACGACGGACAGTGCGTGCAGTTTGACGGGAATTCACGTGGGGAGAGGCGCAGTAAGGGAATATTAATAAAATACATCAGTGACGTTGTCATAGAAATGCCAAGTTCGAATACTAATTAGCATAAGCATAATTCATTGGTATATCATTTATTTTTTCAATTTTTAGGAATCGCTTGAATTCCCTAAACAGCATCTGATACTCTCAAGAGGTTTGAAAATGGAACGTTGTGTGAAATTGTTCGGCTGGCAGGCATATAGTCAGAAGACAGGTTTCTATGCTATAAATAAATTCTTATTTGCCTTTTTCCTCAGTTTTTGCTTCTTGAATAAAGCTTCTTTTTTTTTTTTTAACAATGTTATTGAAATTAGCTGTATCAATAAGGGGAGAACAAAAAGCTTCCAAGCTTTCGTCTTCTGGAACGGAAAAAAAAAATTCCTGAAATCTTGTTGTTGCATGTATGTCGTCCAATTCCTGTTTGGTTTTAATATTTCGCACCCCGATTTACTTCTAACTTAGAATTACTGTTGTTGATTTCTACAATCTCAGAAAAAGTAATTAAAAAAGAAAAAGTTTCGGCTCAGTCCCATGCTTCTTTACACGTTCAGAGAGTATAAACAGCGAAAACCAAAGAGATTCCTTAGAAACCTGACTATGGTTTTATGCCAAGAGCATAATTACAGCCTGCCTACGTGTTTCAATCGATGCTTCTTTATTTGGGGTCGAAATTTGCGAAATTATAGTACTGCTCGAATTTCATATTACGACATCGTTCTATTGGCAATAAATTTCTGTCCAGGTAACCACTATCAAAACTGTTCAAGCAGGGTTACGCGATAGAATGTCACATCTGAAAATTCAATGATGCTAATATTATGATATTACAATAAAACAGTCACAACAAAAGTAGACGCTGCACATTATGATTTCCCCGAGGAGTCTTTATGGGATCGTTTGATCCTGGATTGTTTGTATGTTATGTTTCCGTCTTTTTAAAAGAAAATTTCCGAGGAAACCGTCGCGCTGGCAACGAGCCTGTGATTGGTCAGTTTGTTATAACCGTCTGATATGCTCTTGCGCAATTATTAGAGCGTGTCGTAATTTTACGGGTTGCCATTAGACTATCCCTTTGAGACATCAACGATCACGAGAATGAGTAATCCTGTGTTCTCTTCGCTTTTTCGCCGCTGTAAATCTCTTTTGAACCCCCAAGTAAGGATCCCGCGAAGAAAATAAGAAATAAATATTTTCGTACACGTTTCTTGAAATATACTAAATAGAGTGTAAAATCAATTTCCGTTAACAGGCCTTGTCTGATGTTCGACGCTTGTCGCTAGGATCGTTCAGATTCACAGATGTAAGCGAAGTCTATTTTATTTTATTTTATCTACAAGTCAATAAATTATCTTCTGAATCTTACGCTGTTTTTTAATTTTTTTTCCAGGCGGTCAATCCTGAGAACCAGGTATGTGGGTTTCAAACGTCTTCCTAGTGAAATGTAACGCTGTGTTCGTTTTAGTTATGAGCATCCTTGAATGAATATAGATTGTTAAGAAAGTTTGCCTGTTTATTTTGCAAACTTTTTTTGCCGGTTTGTATATCTTTCACAGAAAAGGAAGATGAACAAAAACGCGTTTTCTGCATAGCTGACCTCAATCCGAAACGATATTGAAGCAATATACGTAATTTAAAACGCCCTTGTGGCCGACATGAATGAAGCTGAAATGTTCTCGTCAGACAATTTGAATTTTTTTGTCTTTATGTTCATGTGTTAGTCTTTATCTCTCAGTTATATATATATAGAACTAAAAACCGTAAGAATTTCTATAAACGGAGGCATTTAAATATCTCCTGATTTCCCTCTAGCAGTTCTTGTAAAATTGCAACCTGCTCCTGTCGCGTTACGCGAATACAATTGGGAGTCACGGCATATTTATATCTACACTAGCGTAAAGTTCCGTTGCATTTTTTCAATAACCTCTTGAATTCGGACCAAGAGACGCTCACATTATCAGCCATTAGTCAAAGGAAATTGGCTTTAACATTATTTGATTGCTTGTATATGTTTTTGTTGATTTTATTTGATTTCTTTTTTGGTTTATAGAGTTTTCAAATTCGTACTTAACATATATTAGTAAGAAAACAAGTGTGATTAAGAACACTTTATCTGTACTGTACGCCCAGAGCCATATTGGTGTGTCTTGCGAAGCGCTAAACGCATGAATGAAGTATTGTAAAGCACGTTGTGTTTCTAAAACCTTTCTGATCGAAAATCCTTCAAAGGGAGACTACTTTGAAATGAAGGGCAATTTTTATGCGAAATGTTCCAAATCAGTGTTATGAATCAAAGCGCTATGCAGCAAGTAATGTTCTGATATGATTCGAAAGGTTTTGCGGTTGAATGAATGTCTTACTTCAAAAGTTTTACGTGGCTCAATAAACGTGGCCACTGATATTAATCTTGTTTCCATACTTTGAGGAATGTGGATTTTATATTGGACTGACAACAAATTCATATCGGCAGTGGTGATATTTAACACTATTCAACCATTAAAAAGTAGTCCATATGCAACATATTTTCCATATGGAAAACTGGCCAGCATGATGATTATATTCTCTGTCTGAAAGATAAGTGAAAAACTATTTTAACAAGCAAACAAATCTTTACTCTCTGCCAATAACTGTTGGGCCTCACTTAACAAATTTCTAGTGCACTACAGATGCATGCCATTGGATGTGAATTTATTTAAGTGTGTTGGACTCCTGTCGCTTGAGGATGGTTGATGATAATAAGCTTGAAATTCAAATGCAAATTCTCAAATTGATTTCCTCCCAGCACTTCTTTTAATTTCTTTTGTCCACGAGTCAAGAAAGGCTTTCTACAGAATGAATTAAAATATAGGAATTCAACAACTGTCCATAAGAACTGCATAAGTTTTAGGAGAGAGATGTTACCCAAAGCTTTGTTAGATAGAGACATCATATTTAGGAGAAAAGTGTACATTTAACTAACAGTATAGCTGGAATATTGAAAGATAATGTCAGACACACATAGTGGGCATTTTTAAGATTCTGAGTTATATTTGGTTAATTAGAGGTATTACAGATATGAACTTGTTGCAGAGAGAGAAATCTTTTCATGTTCTGTCTAGCAGTTTAGTCATGAAATCTGTTCTTGTTTTGGTATTTGAATATCTTAAATAGCTAAGAAGATGTTTATAGTAGTGGCAAGGCTTTATTTACTTTTGATGGAAAATAACATTAATTTCTTCTGTAATGAGTGAGAAAAATCAATCACCTGTATTAAATGCTTGTAATATAATATTGATCATTATTTTTAGTTTTCAATCAATTTTGAGAGAGGAGAGGAGGGTCAGTCAACCTCATTGGAGGGATGACATTTTTCATATTTTGTCTAATAGAGAACTTGCTTCAATATTCATTGGGGTAATTATTCAAGGGTTTGTGGTAAACAGGATTGTGATATGAGCTCTTTGTTTAGGTCTCTGAGCAAAAAGAACGAAATGAAGAAGTTGGTCAATACACAGAGTTAGTAAGAGACTTTTTAAACCCCAAAGACTTCTACAATGCCTTGTGTAGCCATGGCATGGACTATTTTTGTGGTGTTCCAGACTCTTTACTGAAGGATTTTTGTGCATATGTAACATCAGTGACGCCTAAGTCACGACATGTTATAACAGCCAATGAAGGACAAGCTATTGCTCTTGCTGCTGGATATCATATGGCCACAGGGAGAGCTGGAGTTGTGTATCTCCAGGTAAGTGAATTAATTTGGTTAGATTTCATTTATCCAAGTCTTGTGATCTCCTCATTTATTCCTCCTTCTAATTGATTTAAGTTTCCCTTAAGTTAATATTAGTAAAAAGGAATTTGATAGTAATTCAACATTATACCCTCTAAATTTTAAGTTGATCTATCTTGTTACCCACTCTTTGGATAATGTTATGATATTGTAAGGAGTAGTTTCTAGATAATGTATGTTCTATGGTTTAGTTACTCATTTTATTGTTTTAATCCTTTAACTCCCAAGATCTGATTGTTAATTCTCCCCTCTAGATGCTACATATTTCCTTGTAAATAAGTCATGAGAATTTGGTGTTAGATCAAAACCACTAACTTCTGCCCAATAAATTTCAGTATTCTCATTACATGTTGGCTGGGTAATCTGTGGATTTTATTGGGAGAAGTTACATGTTAATCACTTGTGGGAGTTAAAGGGTTAACCTTTCAATTCCAAAGATCTGATTATCAAGTATCCCCTCTAGCTGCTACACATTTCTTTATAAATAAGTGGTAAAAATTTGGTGTTAGATCAAGATAACAACTACCTGATAACTCGAAGTATTCTTATTTCTAGTCTGCTGTACAGTGTATGGTTATTGTAAGGAGAAGTTACATTTTAATTGCTTTTGGGAGTTTAATGGTTAAACATAAGGATAGACTCATAGACTCTTCTTTCCTTTCCTTTTTTGTCTCAAGCTGTGAGAATCATCTGTAATTTGATTAGAACTAGGCATCTGCTTTATGAAATAAAAGAAATATTGCAGTTTAAGAAGGATTACCAAGGCTGATTAGCTAGCAAAAATAAATATTAATGGAGAAGGTTACTTTTATCAGTACCTAGATTTGCTTACAGTTTCTCCAAACAGCAAACTTGTCTGATTTCAACTTTTTCTCTATTTTCTTTGTATTAGCTAGTTTATCAAGTTACATGTTTTGGTGTGTGAAAAGGTCTTTGGAGAGAGTTGCACTTTGTGTAATGTTTTTCAAATTATTTCTTACTTCAATGCATTCAAACTAATTTGAGTTTTTTGTTTTTTTCATTTTTCTTGCATCCACCAGAACTCTGGATTGGGTAATATTGTTAATCCTCTGATGTCATTGGCTGTGCCAAGTGTGTACAGCATACCCATGTTACTCTTAGTTGGATGGCGAGGAGAGCCTGGAAAGAGAGATGAACCACAGCACATGATACAGGGGCAGGCCACACCTGGAATACTTGGTAAATAAGACACCTTTTTGTGTAATTTACAATTTAAATTTTTTTGGTGAGAATTTTATTGTGGTTACATGTTACAAAAGTGAAGGTAAACTAATTAGACAGTGCTGAGAGTTGGCTGTGGGCATAAATGGAAGCTTGTCAGTTGAAGGCTCTCTCTTGGCTCAAGTATTTTTACAGTGCTCTGTTTGGTGTCAAGCTATTTTTCTGTTTCTGCTTATCTCATCCACCTGTCAAAGCTGCTGTACTCCCATTTTCCTCTTTCTTCCAAGCAAGTAGCAGAATATGTATATATATATCTATATATATATATTTTTTTTTTAACTGAGATCCTTAAATGTAATGGTGCTTGATGGTGGCTGCTCACCAGGTTGTTATGGTTATCTTCTGTTGCACACCCTTGTGACTCTTGGAGTCTTCTCAGCGAGATTCCCAACACTATTTGTGACTTGCCAAAAATTTTTAGCACTGTGCTATTAGATTGGTAGCATGACTGGAGGTTCTTTTCTAAGGATTCAGGGAGTTTTATGTCTTCAAGGCTTTTGTGATAGCAAAGTTCTCCTAGTTGCCCAAAAGCTGAGCTTGTAATTTGTCACATTTACTTGGCAAAGCCATTAAATTTTCCTGGGATTATCTCTTTTTTCCATTTTATCTGCAGCATCATGTGGAATTCCTTTTCAAGTATTGCCCGATTACCAAGAAGGAGCTGAACAGGTAATGAAGGCAACATTTTTTCGACTGAGTTATATGCAAACATAGTAATTCTGGGTGGTGGGCTTGAGGTTAATTTACAGAATGACTAGTAAATTCCAATTGCTCACCACAGATTGGGTAAGATACTTGTTTCCTGGTTATGCCTCATTCTAAAACAATTTTCTTGTGGTATGTCAGTTGTATTGTATCTTAAATTGTGATCGTTCATATGAAATATTCTGAAAATGAATATTGCTGGTGAGAGAGTCTAAACACTTGACAACCTGTCATATTCAAGTAATGACTTTTGGTCAGGTTGTCTTGCCAATATTATTTTCTATTCGTGAATGTGAAAGTGATCTTCACAGTAATGAACACTAAGTGACCATTAGAGAAAATAAGGATCAATATCAGTATCTGGGCAGCTGCCCACCTACCCCTCCCCTAACCCAACAACAGTCAATTGATAACAAATTGTTGGGTTAGGAGAGGGGTAGGTGGGCAGTTGCCCAGATACTGATATTGATCTGAAAATAAGGCCTGAAAAAAATTCAGGCCTGTACAGGATTTGAACCCATGACCTTTGCGATACTGGTGCAGTGCTCACAAGCTAACTGGGAGCTGGTCATTATGTTGGTTCCAAAGAAACCTGTGAAGTGATGAATAAATGATTTTGAATATATGAAAATCATATCTGTGAACTGCAGATAAAGACTTGAATATGAAAGCGATCTTCACCATAATGAACACTACCTAAGCAGTAGTGAAAATAGGGCCTGAAAACAAATTCAGGCCTATGCAGGCCTGCATGGGTTCAAATCCCGAACTACTGCTCAGGGAGTGTTGATTACTATGAAATTGCTTTCATATTCACGTCTTTATCCGCAGTTCATGGATATGATTTTCATATATGCACCATCATTATTTTCTGTGACTAACAATCCTTTTAGGACCCCCCTTAATTGGAAGATCAGGCCATATTAACTAGTCATAAAGTTGTTGTAAAAATCTTTAATGGCAACTAATCATTTCATGGTCTTTTGTTGAATGCGTAGGCCTTGTATGTGGCTAGAAAACATATGGAAACATCAAAAGGACCATACTGTCTGCTGGTGAGAAGACAGAACTTCTTGCCATTCAAACTGGAAAAAGAACCTGAAATGTGAGCAAAATGAAGATAAATTTTTTATTTACTGTACAAGTATCAATCACTGCATGATACAATCATCCAGGAGTTAAGCTCAGGTCTTCAAAGGATGAGTGAACATTAAATAACAGCAAACTTTACTGTTCTCTCTATAATTCTAACAGTACTGATGTGGATACTATTTTTGTAACAATCAAGGGGTTTCTAAGTTGGAAATCATTTCCTTTTTTATCATGTCCCTTTTGTTTTATTCAGGGGTGATACTGTAAGAAAAAATGATAGATTTAAGTTACTCACAGGGGCTTAAGGGTTTAACTCTGAAATCTTCCTCCTTACAGCTTTCCATTGAATAGAGAGGGAGCGTTAAAATCTGTTGTTGATTCTCTTAAAGACCGTGATGTGGTTGTAGGCACAACTGGAATGTTGTCACGTGAACTATTTGAATACCGTGTGGCCAAAGGCCACGGTCATGAAAAGGATTTCTTGACAGTTGGTTCCATGGGTCATGCCTCAGCCATTGCTCTTGGTATTGCTCAATTTAGACCAAAACGACAGGTATAGTAAATTGACTGTTTATTAGGTTACTTAGGACAATTTCATCACCACTAAAATTTTCATACTAAATGTTATGAATTTAGAAGTACATATATTTTTTCTTTGTCCCACACTCCTGACAAGATGAAAAGCATCTTTCTCTAGTTCTTTACCGATCCTAAAACTTGCCATCTTTCTTATTGAATTGATATTGAAGGAGAGGCAGTGTTTTCCAAATATAAGTTACATGAGTTTGTGTAAGATTTTTCCTTCTGGAGACTGATTTCTTTACACAGCCCTAATGAGCAATTACCCTAATGAGGCTCTAATACAAAAGGTTATACAGATTTTGTAACAATGTGAATCTTGTTAACTGCTATTTAATACTAAGCAGTGCAGTCACAAAACTAATTTTTTAGTTACAAGCACAAGCTATATTATGGATGGTTGTAAAAGTATATTAGGTAACTAGCACTTATGTTATGGTAACTTTTCAACCCTAAGCATTAAATTCACTAATGATTGGAAATCTGTATATCATTACCAAAGCAACAGTTGAAGTTTTCATTTAGAAGAGGATTTTAATGATAACATAACCCTTTTGAGCCTCTTTCATTGTTACCTTTGTTGTAGATTTTTTGTTTGGATGGTGACGGAGCTGTTCTTATGCACATGGGTGCTATGGCTACCATTGGACAATCTGAAGTAGCCAACTTTAAACACATCCTGATCAACAATGGCTGCCATGACTCTGTTGGAGGCCAGCCAACCAGTGGCTTAAGTGACTCCTTTGATTTCCTACAGATTGCTCAGGCTTGTGGATATAAAACGGTATGTTGATTCCTCCATTCTGTCTTTCATTTTGCAATAATCATTGTGTCAATTCAAAAGGTCACTGGTTTTTCATAAAGGAGGGAGTCTTGGTTACAGTATCACAAATTTTCATATGGGGTCAAGTGTTTAACTCCCACCTCGGATGGGATCATGGGATATCAATCAATCATATTGTCAGGGTTTTTATTAGGCATTGGAGATCAGTGAGTTTGCTGGTTCCTATGCCTCCACCAAAATTCTAAGCAGGGTCTTATTAGAAGTGGAGAATATCCTGCCATTGGTCTACACAATTCTCCTTTTTCTACATATCTTCACGAATAGCCTCTGTTAATTTTTCTTTTCATTTTAGGTAATGAGAGCTACTCAACCAGAAGAAATAGCTGAAGCTGTTACACGCATGAGATCCCTTGAGGGCCCAGTTCTCCTAGAAATAAGAACAAACAAAGGAGGACGAAAGGATCTGGGGCGGCCAACAAGAACACCAATTCAGAACAAGAAAGACTTCATGCATTTCTTGGCAATCGATCATTAATTTACCCACAATTTCAACAATTTTATTTAAAGGGAAGCTGTCCTAGGAGGAGGTTTAAATAACTAACATTGCTCACTTTTCTGTCCGAGTTCTGAAAGGCAGACAAAGCTTGAGGCCTTGCGTTTTTTATTGCTCTGTTGTCTCGCTTGTGTCAAGTTTCTAAAAAACCAGAAGCCATGATGGCTGAAGGTTGACTGAAGTGAGCTTAGATGCTCGATCTAATCTTTGTGGGAATGGTGATTGTGATAATTACTCTTATTTTCACACAAGTAAGTCGTTGGTGGGTTTTCAGTGAACAAACTAAAAGAGTGTGGTGGTGAATGTCTTATTTTCTGGGAAGAGGGTCTCTAACCATTTGACATTAGTGAGCAGCTCACTGGAATTATGTGGTTCTCGAAGTAACTATACCTCCATATTCTCCTGAAAGGAAACCCAAGGGGGAGGTGAGGTTAAAAAACTGGGGAAGAGGAAAATTTGAAATTCTATAGTCAGGGCAATCAGTAAAACATACAGTGGGGGAAGGTCATGGCTTTCAGGAAAAATTTAGTTGTTTACCAAGGAATAGGCAGGGTTATCAGTCTTAAAATAAAAGTAATTTTTAGTTTTTTCTGTCGTTCTCTTATAGAAATATCTACATGTGCTTCATGTAAAATAGGATTTCATTTATTTTGGAACAAAAACCACTGAAAGAATCATGATAGAAGAAGATCTAGTAACCTGCTCACTTAAAACTAGCTGTCCAGTTAGGGAATCAGTCAGGGAACCCCTGATGTTTATATAAACAAATTCTTGCAACCCATTTTACAGTTAGGTTACAATTTGTATTTTGTCCAGACCTTAAAAAAGTTGTAACTGGTGGTTCATTCTAGTTTAAGTATAAAGAAAGTAGGCTTATTTGTACTGAATGCAGATAGCAACTGTGCAACAGGACAGGGAATATGTATTTCCAAAATTGCTAGTCTTTTTTTTTTTGTTATGAGACACCAAACTTGAAGAGTAAGGACTAAAGATTTGGGAAATTTAACTGATATACAATCAAAGTATTTTATATGAATCAAGTGAATTTATGTTCAATTTATTGATGTGAATTTGTTGTTCAATCTCAAATTCTGTCTAATGGTAGGAAATAGAGGCACTTGTGTCCCTAGTATGATAACACAAGAATAGAGAATTACAAGATTTAAGTTTTTGTGTGATACTTCTCTAGAGTTATATGATGGTATTTAACAAGGACACTTTATTCTCTACAGCTGTACTCAATAGTTATTTTTTATGTTTGAGGAAATGATATAAAAATAAAACATTAGTCTGAAAATTTGTTCCAATCTTAAGGTTAGTCCTCATTGATGTGACGTGTTACAAGAGATCAGTGATGTAGGTGTCTTTTGAGAAGCCCAAAGAGATTCTAAAGCCCTTTAGTCTTAACACCTTATTCTCAGGAGAGACTTGGTACAGACTGCAAACTTATTGCAATAGAAATTTTCCAAAAGAAACTGGCACAGAACTTCATTTATTCACCAGTGTAAGTTTTGCCTTGTGAAAATTCTAACATATGAACCATGACAAACTATTTTTTTTTAGTTAACTTGGCATAATGTATTTTATATCTAAGCTCTCTTGTTTTCCTTGTTTTGTAATGTGGACTCCAATTAAATAACGTCAGTTGAAGAACCTGACTTGGCTAAAAGCACCCTTGCTGATCACACTGCCACAAGAACAGGTCTGTCACTGGTGCTCCACAATGATCTTGAATCCCATGGGGATTCTCTACCTGCTGTTTCTCCAATTGAGAGTGACGCAAATCATATGCTTAATAATGTGTGACTAGGTTCTATTTAGAATTGTTAATAATTCCATTTTGTCGCCCAGGGCAAACTAGCAGCATAATCCTCAGTTGACAATGACTTTGCATCCATATACAGATGATTAAAGGCGGTTCATTTAGGGGCAAAAGACAAACCAAAGTGTATTATCTGAAAGGTTAACCAGGTTTAAATTTTTGACAATAATTAACACTAACTTTGCAGTTCTTTATTATGCTTTTTGTAACATTGGCTATTCCACTATCTGAAAAAGCATTTCAACTGAACTCTGCTCCAAAAACTCTTACAATTTCTCTTTTGATAGTCTCTTGACTTTCTCTTTAATTAAATCGCATTCAAAACCTGGCGGAAATGGCATATAGGATTTTGAAGGTTTCAGCACTATATGTAGTCTAACTAGATCATAAACTTAAAGCCTAAATAAGGTTTAAGCTCCTATAGTTATCTGCTCAGTCTTTCTACCAATAATAACATAAGTCTGTGAATCTTTTTTTGTACTACAGTTGGCCGTTGAATTGCGGGTTACACCTTACGCTGAGATATCATTATAATCTGTATGAATTTCAGCATGAATAATCACTTAAACTTATACTAGTTATAGTTCTCACTAGAGCTGCCCCCGCCCTACCGTACCATTTTCTTTTGTTTGTTTGTTTTTTTAGTTGGGCTTGTTGTTTACAGTTGCGTAATTTTTCTGTTATGTTGTTAGGGAATTGCGGCTCAGTTCTTTGGTTTTAGAAATTTTGGATCTCAAAATACTAAAAGTGTACAAAATGTAGCTTTGGGAAGTGCTTGGAATGTTTTTTTCTCTTGCTATGTGGTTTAACTTTGGATTTGTTTGTTCTTCACGATCAAGAAGAAGCAGAATGTAGGGACTTGGGTCAGTTTTAACATTGGAATGTTATAGGTGGCATTGTAGAACAATTCATAAACAGCATTGAAGAACAGTTTATTATTATATTTAAACCTGACATTTTGCACATAATAGACTAGTTATTAGACACAACATTACACCTTAAGAGGGCAAAGACGCCGATCCTAAAAGTCCTCGCGCGCGTGTCTTTTTGCTGGCCGCCCATGACCATTTGCGGGAAAAACGTTGATACCTTGCGGCCGTGCAAGCGATCAAATCGAGATTTTTTCTGGTTATGATCTACCGAAAATACCCACATTCTCTCTTCTCCAGTCTTCCTCTATATTACGCGGGGAGTCCTAAGGTGCCTCCTCGGGTTTTTGGCCCTCTGGGGCCAAAAACCCTGCGGGGGCAAAAAGATTTACAGTAACATTTAACACAGTCCTTGAGTTATTATGCCACCGATTGTCTGCTGCAGTGGAGAATAATTATTTGCATTTCCAGCAGACAGTGTGCGCAAACTGAAAACTTTCCATATTCCGTCAATTTTTGACAAACTGCACATGATGATGGCCTGAGAGTATGCGGCATGTCCCATCTGATCACTGCAGAGCTGTTTGTTAGGCTCCTTGGCATCGAAAAAACGCAGACTGGGATTTTTATATTTTGAAATGTTTGGGGAATTCCATGCACTGAGGGTGAAAAATAACTTGTTGATGTTGCTAGGCAAAGACTTCAGCTGTACACTTATGGTATGGTGACCAATGCGCTTCTTGTGATCCATTACATCACCAGAATGTGAAACACCGATAAAACCACGACTACTGTAATCAACTATGCCTTGAAGAGCTGATCCACTGTAGATAAGAACTGACGCATCTAGATAGTCGCACCCTCTAGAGGGATACCCCCAAAACAGGTCAAAAATTGCATGGTCAAGGGACTGGTTAATCTCGTACAACACAACAATGAGGTGTAGGGTGCTGAACGGCTGTATAGCGTAATCTTGTAAGGTGGCCAGTTTTGTACCTAAGTCAGTCTGAAACACAAGATATTAAATGCCTCGATATTCTCACTTTTGCACAACTTTCTTCAGTATTTGTGAGAGAGTGAAAGACCATGATCAAATTACAATAAATACATTCTCCCTTTACCTTAAGCTCTTTTTCTTTGTACAACAGCCGCTGTTTTAGTGGAGCTGGTCCGAGCCGGTTCTGCACAAATTTCTTCAGGTCTTGGATTGTCATGCCAGGTTTATAGGCCACTACTGTACTGTCTCCGCCCAACATGACAACAGAGATTGTCTCGTTACCAACCAGTGAAGTAGACGGCTCATTTTCAGTCGTGGCAGTGGGCGCAGTGTATTTTGGGAACAAGTTCTCCAGGGTCTCCAAGTACTCACGGTACCGTGGATTACTGGTTTTTACCTCTTGAGGACACTGAGAACACCTCTGATGTTTTTCAACATACTTTGTGACACACTGTTTAGGTACAAGAAAATCAGATATTGGATTTTGCGGTCAGGTTGTCGGAATCCAGAAACACACTAGAACCTTGCATTGAAAATGATAATAAAAAAAATTACAAGAAATAGAAAAGATAAAATCAAACAATGCACCGTTACTATGGTTTCGTGGATTCGATTTTCAATACTAACGGTAGCCACAAGCTTCCTTTAATTTCTTAACTATTACTTTTGTAATATTGTTGGAGAACTACATCCGTATACTATTGAAAGATATCGTAAGATATCCTAAGGGAGGGGTAGGCGCGCAGTTGCTCAGATACTGACAATAACCCCGCGAATTCTTGAGAGTATGAAAATTGTATACACACCGCGGGCAAAATCCTTTAACTTACCCTGAGACAATGCAAAGGCGCATGATCACATGTATCTGTCACAGTATCTGAGGGAAATTCTCTCCGCAGTTTTCTGGTCTTGCACAGATCACAAATCATGCTTATCCGGATCTGAGGCTAAAGGCACACCATAAAAATGCTTATTAAAATATGTGTGAAGACAAGGCAGCAATGTAGCAGTTGGATAAAAGTCTGGGTTCTAGATTACTCTGGGCGCGTAAGTTTAAAGTGCGTGCGTGTATAAATCGCGCGCGTATCTTTTACAGGAGAGTGCTGATGCTTTATTGCGATAATTCAGTTGATTTTCGTTCAGATGTTCAGTTTCCACTAAATTTTACACAGTCGTTCGCCCAGCTCAGCTTGAGCGTAACATGCACAAAACAGAGTTTTGTCTGCTTTCATTATCTAATCATCTGACCACTTCGGTTGACTAACATATCACATATCATTTTGACGATGCATTATAGCCACAGATTAGAGGTATTCACTTGCTTCAAAATTGCACTCACCTGAAGACGGTAATGAAATTTGTAATTTTCCGAAGCTGAACGAAATCCGGCCGTACCGCTTCACTAGTTTATTCTGTCCTCTGTCTCCGCTTTGTTCAAAGATTGATGTCTGTATCCAAATTTATAGCACTCACATTCAAGATCCCATCTGTTGTTCTGTGGCTTTTCTAAAGAGGAATTGCCAGACTTAAACGCCTTCACGACTGAAGGGATTAGGCTTCTGTTTAAAACTATAATTGGAATAATATGCTGAAAACAATCGCTTATCAAGGTTTGTTTGTTAATTTTTGAGTTCCACGAATTCAGCCCTGTTTGTTATCTTTACCATAAAAGGTATCAATCACGTGTTTTTCTCAGAAATGCTACATCTAATTAACAGGCGTATATTAACTCCGATTCCCATTTCCGTAAGGCACGACAGCGTAAATGCATGGGCAGCTTTAGTTAAATCAGCGTGTTCAAGTGAATCGTTCAGAATGAACTGTCCAACACCTGCTATGGATTAAGCACAAAACGGCTGGGAAAAGGTGAGTTTCGATTGTAGAAATGGTCCTTGATACTATAAAACAGCCCAGGGTTCTTTGATCTTTCTTGTTTGTGAACTTCCGTTAACTTAACCGAATAATCTAGTGTCTCAGTGAATTACCAGCATAATGCTACAGCCTCTGTGCTACAAAGTAATTCTACCAGCCTCCTTAGGACTTTTTACTATTAATGATCAGCAAAATGTTTCAAATTGTTGTCATAAGATTCTAGATAGTCAATGGTGACAATTTTTTTATCCCCAATTTTCTTGATGATCGAGAATGACGACAACCAGTTTAACCAGTTTAACGAGTGTTCTAGTCTAATTGGCTTATTATTATACAGTTGCCTAACTTTCCCAGAAATAAGGTGGGATCAACATAGCAATTCCCAGAAAGCCAAACTGGTTTGAACCACTTTTGCTTTCTCAGAATTGTGGGAAGCCTTGCCTAATAGACAATGAACAATAATTGTTTGTGGCATTTTACAGATTATGCTTGAGATTAAATGCTTATGATGCCACGGAATAATTTTCTTGGTTCCAGTCGACATAAATTTAGTCAACATAAATTTACCCCAAACAGCTGTGGAGATTGATTTTTAAGCAATTTTTTTTATCAATTGTTATGGACATTTTACCTGGTTTCTAGTCTGTGAGGGCCCTGTTTAGTAAAATAATAATTTTCACAGTTGCAACAGAGAGGATTACAAGATCTTTGTCTGTAAACTAAAAAAAATTGAAAGATCACTCAAACAATAATTCATTGATTTTTATGTAAAGAAAATGTTTAAGGAATACATGGTATGCTATGTAGAATTATTTTATTCCCACTTTGAATATTTATCTTGTAACAGGGATATGTTATCTTGAAACTTCATTGATGCTTTTTTCTTGGGATTGCTGCTCAAATAAGTGAGGAAAATACCTGGAGAAAAACAACAATTTCTTTGAGTTTGTTTTATCAGCTTAAAGCATCTTGTACAGATACTTTTATGAATGTTGATTAATAAAGGATTTGAAAGCATAAATAACTTGTAGTCTTTGATGTCATACATGATTATAAGCATGTGCTGTAAAGTAAACAGATAATTCTAACCCTACACTTATATTTTAAATTCAGAAGATGTCTGGAAATGACAACAGCAAGGCAAATGCTGGATTTGATGGTCCTCGGCCTGGTGGTGGTCAAGGTGGAACCTCAGACAGCTCCAGTCATGGAGAGCAACAAAAAACAGACTGGCCAAAGAAAGTAGGTAAAATGTATGAAGAGTATCTTGTTAGCTGTCCAGGGAGTCATGAGACAATTGGGAATTTTGGAAGCACAAGTCCCTCAGAATCATGGAATCCTTTGATGAGTGTAAGTTGTTTTGCTGTTAATAACAGACATGATTATAGTCTATTATCATTACTAATGATGATGATGACAATAAGAATAAACATTTATCTAGCATGAAATTCTATTTGGAATTCATTCAAATGAGTTCTACAAAATTTAAGAGGTGAAATTATAATGAAATTGTTAGAATAAAATTGAAATTAATCACATAGGTTAGAAAGCTATTGACCAGCCTGCACATTAGTTTATACTTTGTGTCATTATTAAGACAGATGTTAACATGTTATGGTAGAATTTGTTAATTATTGATTCAGCGAGGTGGCTTAAAATGAGTTAAACACAACTTCTCTGAAAGATCCTCTGAAATTTTCCACTGTATTTTTTTCTTTTTTTTTTTTTTTTTTCAAAAAAACACTCTGTTTTTCATCAGTGGCTGATATATACAATTAACAGAAGCCAGTAACAATTATACTGTTATGTTTATAAGTAAGTAAGTGCTGGTGAGTATACTTAATAAGTCGGACTCTTAAGAAGCTTTCATGAGAACAACCATGCAAAATGAGATAAAAGTAGCTCAGGATTTTTTCAAGTTCTGTCCACTGAATTTCCCCTATCAGAAAAAAAAATAATTTAAAACTGCTTATTACATAATATACTCAGAGCTATTGCATAAATACTACCTTTCATGTTAAAAAGATTATAATTTAGGCACAAAGCTGACACTAAACAAATTTCCACAATTGCCTATAATCTGATATGAGATTCTAGGGATGGGACCGATTGATACATACACTTTCATGGACAAAAATAATCCCAAGGCGTTTTACATATAAAAACTGGTGGTGCTTCTTTACTTTTACTCAATGTGAAAAAATTGTGGTCACAACAAGCCAGTTCTGCAGGAGGTATATTGTTTACAAGGAAGAAGACTTGGAGGTTTGCCTTCAATTGCAATGAGGAGAAAACATTTATGGTGCAAATATTAAGCCACTAAACAGGGCTGCAAGCTCAATTTTTCAAAAATTTGCCTTTTGCCGCCTTCAACCGTGAAATGGTCTCTACTGGTCTCTGGTCTCTTTAGTTGTGCTTATTAACACCAAATTGTATGTGAAACCATGTTGTTACCCATAAGTATTTTGTTGCTAGTCCAAATGTGTCCTTTTATACATTCTTTGTCTTTGGCCTCTGTTGGCATTATTTTCTTCCAAACGATGCTGCTAAATTTCTGTGGGTCACACACTTCGGTATTTCTCAGTGGTCCTCCCAGGGCATCCTTCAACCATTGCTTTTGGCCACCTTGCAAAATAGCAGTGGAAAATAATTGACTGGAATTCTCTGTACATGTTGAGTCCACAATAGCAGATCAGTTCCTGTTATACAAATCTCAATGCAAGCATTTCCTCTTGTCTCACAATCACAATATGTTCTTGATATTATGAGTGTGATAGTGTGTCCAAAGTAACTTTCTGATATGGACACACAGGTACCTTGGGACTTCAAGTCCAATAAAGCACAATGGTAAAACAGTGATGTTCAACTGTGGTTTAAAAAAATCCCCACATGCCATGGCAGGATCAAAGCTAGTTTGAATTAATACAACAGTTCTATTGACCCATCCTAATAAATTTGGTATGTGGAGTAAGGTTATAGTTACCAAGAATTGTGGCTCAAAAACAATCCAGTAACTCTTGATCTAACAACCTTAGGCCACCTCCAACTTTAGTGGTAGTTTTCACTGACACAAACTTAAAATAAATGCTTGTGTCTCCAATTCACCTTTGATCCAAAAACTTTTATAGCAGAGTACAATAGCAAGGCTGTGTTGGTCTCCTGGCATAGCTTCTTCAAATGGTCCATCTTTCCTGACAACCACATCTACCACCATGAAGTGACTGAGTCTTTACATACGTTTAAAACATTTCCTGGAAAACTTAGGAAGGCTGATAACATCCACTATTCAGGCAAAATAACATCGCCCATCTAAGTTTTTTATGAAGTTCATGTAACTTAATAACAGAAGGCTCAAATGGGTGACTAGGTGCTTTAGAAACATGTTTTCAGTAACTCTTCAAAACGGGTACCAAAGTATTTTTTTTCCACTGGCTAGGACTCTCCTGTCTAGCTCTAGGTGTGATAAGTTAATGTTCTTTTTTACTGGCTAGGACTCTCTTGTCTAGTTCTAGGTGTGATAAGTGCATCCCTACTTGATGCCACAACTGATTGTGAAAACCTCACGGATTTTCCCCATTAGGGGGTTCATGTAGCATCAGAGAAGCAATCTGGTAACCCTGGGCAGCCCACAGATACTCCTAAATTCAGAGAATAAACTAGGGTTGTTACTCTTGTCCACCATTCCTTGTTACCAGTTAACTTTAAATGCTATTACCTTGAAAATGACCTCCTTGAATGATCCTGCTCTTCTCTCAGTGTTCTTTTCAGGTGAGAGCTGAAGAACTCTCATTTTAATTCTATCAGTTATTGGATGCTATGTAGTACATCTTAAAGTTGCTTTCATATTTGCTTCTGGAGAAAATATGTTATCTTGGATAGCTGTGTACTTAACTGTGATCAACCATCTAGTGACCTGTTGAGCCACTTTGCACATCACTTTCATGGACAGTATCTCCCTTTTAAACTAGCCATGTAGGTCAGAACATAATGTACCTGGTACATGTGGGCGGACTGTGGTGGAGAAATTCCTTTTAGGTTGAGGAAAGTGGGCATTACTTTGATTGGTCACCATTAGCTTTCTTGTTGCCTGTGCAAGTTTCCTACATCACCTTTTTAAGTTGTGCTTAACCAGCCAACCCAGACAGGGTTGCCTCTCAGGATGGTAAGCTCTCATACTTTAAGCACTTTACCTACCACTTCTGAAAGTTAACATTAGATTTCCTTATATTAGAATATCATGGTCAGTGCACATACATTTAAGAGTGGCAAATTAATACTTGTTATTTTTTTTATTTCTCTCAGGAAAGTGGAACTTCATTGAGTGAAACAGAAGAAGAAGAAAGCATCTACCCTATAGAACCATCTGAAAACCGAGATCAGGTATTTTTAATACCCTTCCACAAAAATTAGTTTTTTAAATCATGTGTTAGTTTGCTCTGCATATTCCATTCTCCCTACATTATGTAACAGAGATGTTGTGACAAGTGTTACTGGTTCAGGTGCTTTGCACCAGTCTTCTCCCAGTGACAATAAAATATTTTGTTCCTTTTACTCTGGTTTGCGCCAAAATTTTGTTTTGTAGCTAATTGTCTTCATGTCAATTTTGCTTGTTTTTCATTTCCTGTATTTAAACTGTTATGTACTTTGATTTTGTACTTTTGCATTCTGTCTCTTGAATCTTTCTTTTGAAGCTGCTTCATTGTTCATCTTATCACTCTTTTCATTACATTTGTTTCTGCTCTAGAAACCACTAGTTATTATTTTATGTGAATTGCAATTTAAAATAGCTGTCGCGTACTTTTTAAAAAGATATATGATATACCAATATCATGAGATGCTATATATGTTTATGCAATGAATGAGGTTCTGATTGGTTACACATCCATTTATTATGATTGGGATGTTCTTTGAAAATGTTAAACGTACCCCAACCCTAAGCTTTTTTAAAAAATCTTATTTATATACTACTTCTAAATCACAAATACGTATAAAGAATCGCTTTCATTATCACTCTTGTTATCCCTGTCTCTGTAATCACTACCATTGTTACCATATAATTTAACCAACAGAAAAAACACCACAATCCTGCAGACTCAACTACTTTTAATTATTAAACAACCAGTAATATTCTTAATAAGGAGAGACTCCTAAAGGCCGTACAGCACTTACCCTCAAAAAACTTACTTAAGCCCTCTACAGTCTATATCTTAGCTCACCACTGAGCCAAACTCACAGTTTCACTCTGACATTTCTTGAAATTAGCAATCTTTCACTTTAGCTCTCTCACACAGTATAGCTTTTATAAACAGTTGGTCATTCCCAACAACAAAAACTACTACTACTTCATAACTAAGTCCCTATGTTCAAAATGTGTTCTGGAACATTCCAGATGCTACCAAAAGAACTATTAATAAGTAGTCTTACGAATTAACTGCGTGACTTGATGAAATGTTCTAGAAAGTTATATGGTACACATGTCAGCATGAATAAGCAGTCTGGTGATTTTCAGAAGCTTATATTTAAAACAACAATTACTCATAACACTATTATTGTTATAAAATATATTATCTATCGTTATTATTTTTTTATTTTCATCAATTTTAACAATATTTGCTTCAGAATAATTTCCAGTCATTTCTGATCATGTTATGACTCTTCTCCAAACTTGTCATGATACGTACCATTGCAAGTCAAACAACTTAAAAGTATGCTAAGTTATCCACTTTAAATTTGGTAAATGGTTTGAACTCGGGGGTAACATGTAATAGTGTAGTTTGATCGTCCGAGTGAGTGTAGTCCTGAGAAGGACTGTTGTCGGTAGTGGTGACTGACGTTTCGACAACCTGAGCGGAAGTCATCATCAGAGTCAAGTGAAAGGTTGTTGTCAGTCGAATATACTTAGTCCGGTTTGTGTACACTGATTGGTCAGTTTTGCCGTGATGTTATTGGCTGTAAGACTCAAGTGGCGTAGGTCAGTCGTGATTGGTCGGTTTGGATCCGTGAGTGAAGTTAGGTCGTTCTGTTCGGTTCGTTTGTAATGTTAATGTCGTGGATGAGTCGTTTGTATGGTGCCGGTAGTGGTTGACACCTGTTGAGGGGAGTCTGTTCCAAGTTAGTAAACCAGCTTTCCAGGGTCAGTCGTTGAAAGTAATTGGTGCTGTAGGTTAGGCATTGCGCAGAGTCCCAATCAATAGTGTGGTTCGTAAGTCGCTGATGTTCAGCAATGTGATTGTTGACATCGCCTTTCCTCGTCGCTCGTTTGTGTTCAGTCAGTCTAGTCGCGAGGTTTCTGCCAGTCTCACCAATGTAGGAGGCGTGGCAGTTGGAGCAATTGATCTTATATACTGCTCCTTGTCTGTTCCTCGGTTCGTCTCTGTCTTTGATGTTAGTCAGTAACTGACGTAGTGTGGTAATAGGTTTTGTGAGCGACGCGGATATTGAATGGTTGTAGGATGCGTGAGATATTCTCATATATGCCCTTTATGTATGGTATAGTGGCTGTGGTCGTAGGAGTTGCGTTGTCGTTAGCTTCGGTAGTGGTAGGAGGCCTGTGAATGTTACATTGGATGAAGTCTTCGTTGTAGTTGTTCTTTGAAAAAATATGGTTAAGGTACTTGTTCTCGTCAGATAAGCTGCCAGTCGTATTACATACTAATTGCGCTCGTCGGGTAATAGTCCTGATAGTAGTGGCTTTGTGTGATGTCGGGTTGTAGGATGACTCGTCCAGTAATCTGTCGGTATGTGTCGGTTTCCTGTAAACTGTTGTCCGTAGTGAATTGTCGTCACGGCTTACCAAGCAGTCTAGAAAAGGTAGTTTACCATTTTCTTCGACCTCTTTAGTAAACTGTATGTCAGTGTTTTGTTCGTTAAGGTGGTGGTGGAATGCGTCGATTTCGTCGTGTCTTACGGCGGTGAAAGTATTGTCAACGTAGCGTAACCAAAGTGGTATCGTCTGTCGGCAAGTCGAAAGGGCACTTTCCTCGATGTTCTGCATCACAATTTCTGTTACAACAACAGAAACTGGAGACCCCATAGCTGTACCGTGTAACTGTTTAGTGTACTACCGGCACCATACAAACGACTCATCCACGACATTAACATTACAAACGAACCGAACAGAACGACCTAACTTCACTCACGGATCCAAACCGACCAATCACGACTGACCTACGCCACTTGAGTCTTGCAGCCAATAACATCACGGCAAAACTGACCAATCAGTGTACACAAACCGGACTAAGTATATTCGACTGACAACAACCTTTCACTTGACTCTGATGATGACTTCCGCTCAGGTTGTCGAAACGTCAGTCACCACTACCGACAACAGTCCTTCTCAGGACTACACTCACCCAGACGATCAAACTACACTATTACCACTTTAAATTGTTGAATAACAATCCATTTCTAAGTTTCATGTAATTTTAAAAACTGCTGCAGGGGGCTTCAGAGCCACCTTAAATACATTTCTTGAATTTGATTTCAACTTATGATGGATACAAAGATTTTTGACAGTTAATTTGAGAGATTTAAGTGCAGGCTTGAATTTTTATTTTCTTTCAGCATCTTCGCTGTGTCTTTCACCTCTTTTTGGAGGAAAAAGTCGAATCAGTAAAGATTCAAACAGAGAGGCCAATGCTTAACGGTCATATCACGATGAACCTTGATTTTCATCCTGAAGAAAAACACTGGATCTCCCGCGAACTTTTTATCCCCCCTGATCAACATGATAATTTTCATTATCGTTATGTGGTTAAGTACAAGGAAGGAGTCGGCGAACGGATCTGGAAAATGGTTACTTTCCAAAGAAATGATGAAAAAACTTTAAAAGAGGCAAAAACCCGCAGGTTGAATAGCGGTAGGGATCAGTATGACATATTTCGTAATCCACATGACAAAAATCGGAGCACCATCTTCCGCGGACAATTTTTTTATGTCGACTGGCTGTATCAAAAATTAAGCAGAGTTGGCAATCTGAAGGAGATGCTAATTGAGTGTGAACATGTGGGTTTTGGCCATGCCAGCTATTCGGAGAAAGATATTGGTATCTTCTTTCAGTGGGTTGCGGAAAGCACTAGTCAAAATCTGTCTCCCAATCATTGTGTGTACTTATGCAGTCTTCTTGGCCAATACATGTATCGCGTGCGTGCCATTTCAGCTGAGTATTTTTGTAGAATGCTCAAAGAGAAAGCTATAGACAGGCTTCTATCAAAGCTAGAGCATTGCTCTTCCGAAGCGTTACCTAAAAGCAGCGCAAAGTTCATCAAGACCGTAGCAGAACATCTCTTTAAAGGTGGATCCTCAAAGGGATATATAATTTTTATGAAAATTTTCTGCAACCTTCTTGATTTGGAATACGTAATGCAAGTGGCAGACAAGCTTTACCCAAAGTCCTACACTGATAATCAATTCGATCGGCAGGTACCCAGTCTGCTGGAATCCCTAAAGCAAGTCAGAGACATAGACAGTCGCAAAAGATTTTGTTCTTATGTGATAAAGCATGCCCCAAGTGTTGGATGCCTTTGGAATCTTTTTGACGCGATGTTACAGTGGTGTCCTGACCTGTTATCCATCCTCGAGGAAGAATTTATCAACGTCTACCTAAAATTTACCTTACCCCAACGTGCAAGAAAGCCTGATTTTCTCCAGCCATGTTTTTGGAGTGCGGCACCTGAGAAATTGAAAGACAAACTTGCCAGTCCATTCTGTGAAGTGTTGGTTGAGCAGATCTCGTCAGGAACCACATCCACGCAAGAAAGACTGGACAGCCTGAGGAGCATTGCTCTCGATCCAAAGTTGCAGTCAGCAGGCACATTTTGTCGTCTTATTATGAATATCTCATCAGGTAAATCAAAAGAAATGGTGTCCATGATTCTGATTTTCTTGAAGTCCGGGGCGTTTCTCAACTGCTGGCATGAAAAATTTACTCATGAAGACAAGTTGAAAATTTCTTGTAACTGGATAAGATCACAGTCTATCGGTAAACCACCCAGCGAACAAATTATTGCTGCTGTGGAGGCCAGTGTGACAATACGTGCAACAGATGCTATAAAGACCGACAAGACACTATGCCGTGCTTTGGAGGAGCGAGTAGATCAAATGGTTTTGAAAGAGAATTTCCAGTCCATTAAGGATGCTGTTGCAGATGCACAGAACCGATCAACTACGATCCTGCCACATCTAGTAGCTCTCCTTAGAATGGCAATAAAAAAGCAAAGTGTAGCCGGTGATCATCGTTCAAAATATAGGCAAATGATACACCTTCTGGGCTATAATCTTTCCAGAGAAAGAGAGAAGATTTTACAGAAGGTGACATTGAATAGGTGAGTCTCTAAGGAAGTTTAATTCGTGTAATGTTGTTGATCAACTCACTTAAGTTGTTTCAACTTACAGTGTCTGTCCGCCGTATCATATCTAGCCAAGATTTTGAGAAAAAATAGCCTTCTGACTTCGGACGAATCCCGAGTAAAAAAAACAACTTGCATGATTTTACTTGTCATCTTGATTTGTATATGTATATATGTTTACACCCGTTTTCAAAAACGTTGCAATTTGAAAATATATATGAAATATTTATACCTCTACTTCTCTTTTCAATTTTTGATGGAGTTGCAACGTTTTTGAAAACGTGTGTATGTATGTATCGATAGATAGGTACATAAATAGATTGACTGATACATAGATACCTAGAGGGAGCTAAGAGTCAGCTTTCGTCATGGATCAAGGTATAGCTCTTTGTTAACTTTCTTTCCTTTGAAGCCAGTAAACGTGTAACTCTTATTTTGTTTTCAGGGCCCAGGAAGAGCTTTTGGTCTCTACTGTGGAACTAATCCAAATGCAAGGCGAGGGAGGAAAGCACGTTAACGTAGAAAAGGTGTTGAAAGCGATGATTTCCCACAGAGAGCTTTGGGTACCCTTACTGAGCGCAGTTCACCCCAAAAGTACGCTTCCGCAACATCCTACTGTGTCGATCGCCATGAATGCTTTGCGATGTTTAACAGATGAACAGCAGAGACAGGGCCTGCGTGTTGAGTTCCTGGTAACATTGAAGGACGACGATATCGGTCTTCTTGCCGTCTATTGTGTCTTGGTTACTCACCAAGATTCAACAATTGATCAGAACGAGAAAGAGGAATGGAAAGCGCTATTGTTGTCGGAGTGTAAAAGGGCGAAAATCTTTTGTGAATGTTTCGCCAAAGTAGAGCAGGCATTTCGTTTTCTTGAGAATGTATGTGACGGATGTGTCATGGTTTCAGATGCAGACTCTATAATTAACGAGATTAACAGCAGGAAGGGAGTAAAAGCTAATGCCACTCTTAAAGATGCTCTTGATGTCAGCTACTGGGGAACACTAGAAGAGTTGATTGGATCTTCAGAGACAGCTACAAAGGTTCGAGGAAGTATCATTTTTGCCAACGTTGCACATTTGTGTTTGAAAGAAAACCTGGCATCTTCTCAAACAGCATTGGGTGAGTTTGCTGATTCTTCAGACATTCCACAAAACGAGGCTGCTGAAGTGCTGCATCTTCTCGAAAACGAAGGCTTGCACCAATTTAAAGAGGCATGTTCCAGTTTTACAGACAGCAAGAAAGATCCAAAAATCGTGGATGTTGATGTGCTCTTGTCTGGTATTGATAACGAAGAGGTTCTCAGTAGAGAGCTACGTGAAATCAGTTCCATCTGTGGTACGCCAGTTCCTGAAAGGAAAAAAGAAATGCTGAAAAACTATTTATCTTTTCCTCTCGTCCGTGCAAAAGTACAGCAGCTGATGTCGATTTACGCAGCCCTTGGATTTGAAGATTCTGAAGATGAAGCTGTTACTAAGGATCTACAAGACTTCTTACAGGTATCCTCCAGCCCCAACGGTGACCTCACGTTGAGAGGTGTTTCTGAGATTGTTGGAAAGAAGAGCGTGGCCATGGTGAACTCTGAGCTAGATGATACGTTGAAGACCATCATGGAAACACTTCAAATGTCTAGTGAACTGATTTCGTTCATGAAAGAAACTGCGAATGAAGACATTCGAATATTAATTGATGCTGTAGAAGAACATTCGGATCAGTTTGTCTCGGAAGCTATCGTCTCGGATTTAATTGATGTACATGGATTTCTGCGCAACATCTTACGAGAAGCCCCAAAAGATCCCATGAGGTTTCTGGCTAGTCTCAAGAAGTGCTACCGAAAGTTAGAAAAGAAAAAGGAAATGGCAGCCAAAATCAAAGAGTGTGGATGTAACGTTCATAGCCTAAGAGGCTTGTACATGAATGTTGCAAACCGTGGAGAGATGACAAAGGAGATAATCAACAATGCCGTACAGAAAGGATGTTACATCATTAAGACTAACACTGATGGCTCAAGCGATGTCCAGCTTAGTTATCGTCGTAATGAAAGTGCAGCAAAAGAGACGACCTATAATATGACAGAACTTCACGACCTGAGGAGCCGAGCTCTCCTAATTTTGAATACAGATAAGAAGCAAGAACAAGTGGATAATTTAGATGACTCCAGTGCTTCAGTTCAGTCTGTCAATCACACCTTACCAACATTTATAACGCAAGTGGAAATGATTACCGACATTGTCAACACTGTCACATTGTTGCGAGAATCTGGTCATCCAAAGTATAAAAGCTTTTGGAAGAAACTTACGTCCCCTCAAGAGATCGAGTCTCAGGCTCTTACCCTAGAGTCTACCTTGCAGAATTGGGAAACGTTGTTAAAGCGCTTACAAGAGCAGTACTATTTCCTCAATTTTTTCCACCCCGATCAACTGAGGCTGCTACACAAGTTTTTTTCAAAGCGTTTGACGAATACACAGGGTCAACTCTCGCTGACCTCATCTGTTCACAGCCTGCTGCGTTTTGTAGATCCAAGTATACAACGTGAAGAGCTTTATGATTTCCGTAGCCTTTACAACGAACCCAAAGGAGACTCTGGACTTGAGATCGACCTCCGGGCCATTGGAGAGGTTTTAGGTAGCATCTTCATTCCACGCCAAGGCACGCAGTGGAAAAAGATACCACAACGTGATTTGCAAAGAGCTGTCAAGCCCGGGGAATTGTTTGTCGCTGTTCTTGAACATGGCAGTCAGCAGACGGCCAATGTGGTTATGTCACTGTTCGAGAGTACAACAGGCTCTTTTCCACAGCCTAGTCAAGTCCTCTTCTGTCATTCAGAGACCAGTTGGGAAGAGGTTGAGCGACTTCTGAAACGTTCTTTTGAAGCACATATGCATTCCACCTCGGTCAAGTTACACTGCCTTGCGAACGTTGAAAACCTTTCAAATGACATGCAGTTTGAACTTGTTACAGCCATTAGAACATACCAAAAGAAGGTTGAAGGTCCTTATCTGTTAGCGCTAGTCTGTTGTGGCGGCATTCATCACCACATTGTTGATCAGTTCTCTACAGCTGCCCACAACATTCTTGGAATGTCAGAACCAAAGCTACGGGATACTTTCAAGGAAGTTTTTCGCTACGTTTTCATGGTCACGTCGGATCTTCCTGGTGTGGGAAAGACAGAGGCTATCCACGAGCATGCGGCATCATATAAGAAGAAAGTTTTGACTGTACCAATCAGCGGGCCTTTGTCGCGAAAAAACCTTTTGAAAAGGTTGTCTGGTTTGAGCGTTTCTCCCCACGAATGCATTCATTTTGATGTTGGCGAGGTGGATGACCCGTTAGTTCTGGACACTATGATGTTCGAACTCGTTGTTGTGGGTATGATGTCGTGTGGAACGGAACTTTTCCATCTCCCGACTAAGCATGTGTACATCGAAATTGCGAACACACTGAGGCACTGGCTTCAAGATTCGCTTCCAATTACAAAGTGCTTTTCTCCTTTACACATAAACTTGGTTGGGTATGGAGACCTTGTCGTGAGCCAGGAGCCATTGAGTCCCGTTCAAGTGGTCTGCCAGTATCTTCAAGCTTACGAATCTGGTTCGTTGGAAACCAAAGATCTGAATCTCGTCGATCTGAAGCCATTGTCACCTGACCGATGTAAACAGCTTCTATCAAAGCATTTCTCGTCAACCGGGGATTTGTCGTACAACATAGTGGAGAGCTTCCTCAAGGTTTTTGCAGATCAGCTCTTACAGTTTTCAGAAAGTCCTTTCTTCAAAACTCATAATTTGCAAGCCGCCCTAGGCCTACAACATGATGTTCGAAACTGCTTATTCAAAGCCCTCTTGGAGGTTTCAAGGGAGTTTGCATCACGGTCTGTTGTAACCTGTAAGGATGTGCAGTCAGAAGCCATTTCAAAAGAGCAAGCGTCCGAAGTCTTGAAAAAGCTCCATTCGTGTTCAAGGAATGATGCAGAAGGAATGGTTGAACGGGTTGAAGGAATGATTCAGTGGGCTGACAATAATCACCTTGTGATTGCGTTTCACAGACTAGAGGCTTTTACTATTTCTGCTTTGTACCGTGACTTGTCACAGGTGCCATCCAATGTGCAGAAATTGTTGAAAGTGCAGGCGAAGAAAGGGGAAGATATAAAGGACTTTGCCAAGCTGAATCACAGAGAACTTCAGGATAGACTTGATCTAATCGTTCGAACAAAACCAAGACAAAACGATGACGGCTTACAGAAACTTGATTATGCCCTTACGCCAGACAATATCCTGAAAATGGTGCTAATTATTCAACGTATTAAGGCACGTATACCAGTCATTGTCATGGGAGAAACAGGTTGTGGTAAGACTAGCCTCGTAAGATACCTCGCCAGAACGTGTGGTGTCCCATTTCACGTTTTCAACTTTCATGCAGGTGTGACTGAGGAAGAGGTGATCGACTTCATCGACCAAAGGGAGACGGAAGCAAAAACTGGCAAAGAAGTTTGGGTGTTCCTTGATGAAATTAACACTTGTGAATATCTGGGAACAATCAACGAGGTGATTTGTCACCGTAGCATTAAAGGCAAACCAATCACATCTAACTTGGTATTCATCGCTGCTTGCAACCCGTACCGTCTTCGTCCGCCTGGGAAAATTACGACAGCAGGTTTAAGTGAGAAGATAGAGACAGACCAATTTTCAAAACTGGTATATCGGGTTCACCCTTTACCTGAAACAATGATCGACTTTGTGTGGGACTATGGATCACTAGGTAAGGACGACGAACATGCATACATTGGTCGAATGGTGGAAGGAATCATCGGAAAACCTGACGACTTGTTAGCTGATCTGCTCTGTACTTCCCAACAGTACATCCGAGAAGTTGACGGAAGCCCTTACTGTGTCAGTCTACGAGATGCTCATCGATGCATTGTCCTTGTAAAGTGGTTCAGAAAGGCATTGAAAGAGCGTAATAATTTACCCTTAACAAAATCTGGGAGTAATCGCACTTGTCAAGTGATTGCTCCTGGGCTCTTTAATCTAGAGAGACCCTTTGTCCTCGCCTTGGCTCACTGTTATCAATCACGTCTTCCTACTGCAGAGGCAAGAAAGGGATACCAACAACGCGTTGCTGAGTGCTTTAGAAAACACAAAAAGTATACATTTAAAGAACAGAGCTTTGAGGACATTGTTAGAGCAGAGCAGGAAGATTACCTTGAAAGAATGGAATTGCCAGAGGGAACCGCTAAAAATGGCGCTCTTCGCGAGAATGTGTTTGTTATGCTTGTTTGTATCCTGAACCGAATTCCGGTTTTCGTCGTTGGAAAGCCAGGATGTAGCAAATCTTTGTCTATGCAAATTATCCGCAGCAACTTAAGAGGAAAAGATGCTAAAGATCCTTTTCTTAAGAAACTTCCACAACTATATGTGGTTTCTCACCAAGGTTCAGAGTCCTCAACATCGGATGGAATACTCAAGGTGTTTGAGAAAGCGCGAAAGTACAAGGAGCACAACAAAAGTGGAGATATTCTTCCAGTTGTTCTCCTTGATGAGATTGGTCTGGCTGAGGTATCACAGTACAACCCTTTGAAAGTATTGCACAGCCTGCTGGAGCCAGGCGATGGTGCATTTCCTGATGTTGCTGTAGTTGGCATATCGAACTGGGCCTTAGATGCTGCAAAGATGAACCGTGCAATTCATCTGTCCAGACCTGAACCAGATGTGGACGATTTGTTTGACACTGGAAAGTCTCTGAGAGAGGCAGGTAGTGGGGCAACTGCATCTGGAGTGCCTCGCACTCGTTCAGGACACATCTATCGCAAAGACACCTATCCAAATGACAAGCAGCTTCGCTGCCTTGCCGAAGCATATCATGAATATCAAGGATCTCAAAAATATGCAAACTTTCATGGACTTCGAGACTATTACAGCCTTATCAAATGCCTCAGCTCAAACAGGAACCACAATCCCTCTAACGACCCGCTCATCGAAGAGAAAACACAGGGGATCCAACATGCATTACAGAGGAATTTTGGTGGCGTACCTAGTGACGTAAACAACTTTCAAACGTTGTTTCACATAAGACTCCGCTCCCTGGATTTAATGGAGAAGACTCATCATTTTAAAGTTACTCAACTCATCCGTGACAATCTGCACGACAAACTGGCCCGTCATTTAATGATAATAACGAATGGAGATGCTGCTATTGGCATCCTTGATCAGACTCTGCAAAGTCTTGACAAAGAGAAAATCACCATCTTTGGAAGTCGATTCGAAGAAGATCTTTCTGAAGAATACAATTATCGAATGCTGAGCCGCATTATCTTGTGCATGGAGAGGGATTGTGTTCTCATTCTCCGAGATCTCGAAAACATCTATGGCAGTCTGTATGATATGCTGAACCAGAATTATACCGTTGTTGGAGGGAAGAGAAACTGTCGGGTCGCACTTGGTGCCTTTAGCAATCCTATGTGTCAGGTCCATGATGGATTTCGATGCATAGTGTTGATTGATCAACGAAGGGTTGACTTCACAGATC